GATTTTTGTCGATATAGCAGTTCTCTGAGAAGCATTGTAGGTAATTTATCATATTAACCATGAAATGCTTGATTTTAAATAGCCGAACTCTTGATTTTGGACCAGCAAACCGATGGAACGATAATGAATCCTGAATTTGATCTGAGCGTGGTCAACTTTTGAGTAATTATACTTTGAGCCCCAGGTTTGGAAGGAAAACCCCTCGCTCTGGGAATGTTATTGTTGAAACTCTAGCTCTGGGACGATGTTCAGTGTGTTGCCATCTGACCTCCATAAACATACACTGATAAGAGCACGTTTTACAGTTCAAGATGAGTGATAAGAAGGCTTGCTACAGCAGGAATTCACAGCAACCATGCAGAAGTTGGCTATTTACAGATGATGGACGCCGGCGAAATGATCTTGTCGAGTGCCCATAACATTACCCATGACGGCGTTTATGATAGGGCCTACACTTGTTGGTTCTTTTTTCAGTGGCTAGTCCTGCTCCGAGCAACGCCAGATGTGATATTCTGTGAATTTTGGCTTAGTCTGGGTCTATGCGATTTTGACGACTTTTTGCGTAGCCTAGGGAGTTTTGTTGATCTCCTCTGTATTACTGGATGGTTGACAAGGTTAAAAGAGTGCTCAAAATTGTGATCGCATTGTCTCCCTCTCTCGTGAGCTCTGCCATCAGTGTTTAGCATGGACAGTTTTATTCTGAACATTTCGAGAAGAATGCCTTATCGAAAAGAATTTGGAAAAGGACTAGGAATCCGTAAGTCATTGGGGCACTCTTGACCTTATGGTGGTGGGGGGAGGGAAGGGCATTCAAAACAGGGCATTCAAAAACCGCTGCTACGTGACACTAGGACTAAGCTCAAGAGAGGGGAGAATGCCAGGGGGAGCAGAAGTTGCTCAGGGTCTTCCCCCAGAATCCCTTTCCTTCTTGAGGCTTGGTTTCGAGTTCTGTACGTCCACTCATTCAATGTCCCTATGACGACAGGAGCAGCCGTCATTGGGAATGCATGCCATGCTGCCAAAAACGTCTACGATTCTATGTGGGTGTCACATGTGTGGCGTACCATGAAAAGACCCTAAAACGATTGGTCCAGTCGGTCGGTGTTTATATCTATTCCTATTGCTTTATTTGCTGACCTAGGATACGGAATCGAGGAGTTTGGAAAAGGAGAATCTTCCAGTGGGGGAATGTGATTCCCATTTGGACCTATGATTAAGCCTTAGGACAGGATTGTTCACCTACAACGGTTCGATAGATGGCTATTTCTGATCTGACCCTGAGATCTGGCTCGTACTATCACCACATAGCTCGAAATTGACAGAAGTCAGCAGCTTCAAATTTCATTTTAGGACCTAGTAGATCACTCATCTTTTCTCCTCAATACACCTTCTTCAGAAGAGCTAGGACAAATAATTATAAATTCAGATCAAAGAGCTTTTACAAAACTAAACAGAATTTTGAAAATCATCTTAAATTATAAATTGGAACTCTTAACTCCTTGCCATAACAGGGAAGTACCATCACTTTGGTTATTAGACAAAAAATCCATTCCGATACGTATGCCGATTGAGCCAAAGAGCTGGTAAAACATCATTTCCCCAGAAGTAAATTCCCAGATAGGAAGTCCTTCAAAAGGACTACCGCTGTTGTTTTGTTCGCTAATGCTCCACTGAAAAGCTCACATGGAGCGTGACGATTTCAAATCCACCGCCACAAAATAACCACATAACCACTGTGGGACCAGTTTTGTATTGGCGCATCGCCTGACTAGAGGTCTGGAGCAATAACACAGTGGAAACCTGTTGGATAACGCCCAAATACGCTCGACCACCGCCATCATGAGGCTGTTCATTATGTCGGGAGGGGGGGGATAGCAGAGGAACATGAGAGAACAACAAAACAGAGACTATTTCATATGGAATTGATATTTTATAAGATTTTTAGAACCGAAATTTTATAAGTAAGGAATTTTTCGAGTTCTACATTACACAGTGGATTACATTTTTGTATAAGTATTAGTGTGGAAGTCAATAAAAAGGTAAGGCCTAGTTTCCGTTTTGCACCTGCCCTCAGACGGAAATTAGGCAGGTGGTAAAATGGTAGTGGCTGATCAGAAGGTAAAAATCACCTGTTGTTCCTCGCTGTCGTCTCATTTTCAACCTGGCCCACGGAGAAGGTTGTACGGCACATCGCGCCATTGAGGCTCTGACCGAAAGTAATTTTACTTCAACGGCGTTTTATCATATCATATCATTTTTCTATCATTTGAGTGTTTGACATGAATAGAGGAAAAAAAGCAAATATAATGAAAAAATAAAGGAAAAAATTTAAATACATAGTTGTAAGACATTATTCAGTCCTTCAGGAATGCGCCATGCACTCTCTTCGATCTATAAAAGCAACAAGTTAGAATTATATAAAGTAGTAGTGGAAGTATACTTAGTAGGGGCGTCATACAAAGACATAAATAACTGCGACTTCAATGCACAGTCAGAATTTGACTAGCTTGCGGATAATTGATGGATCTTGCTAGGACACATTGCTCAGTTGTGCGCGATGTCTAATAGCAATGGCACATTCTTCAGAAACGCGTGACTATGGTTAAAGATATCCATCTTTGAAAACGTAGGGGTACCAAGCCATTGTGAAGTACTGAGCTAACTGATTTTTTGATTGGTTTCTTCTCATTCTACAGCCGTATGAGAGTGAAGAAGTGGTTGTTGTGACAATGCTCATTATCCGGAGATCAAATCCTGAGTAGTCCTAGCCAATCAGCCGTTTCATTTCTACGAAGTCGACCTGGTCCCAAACTGACAAAACGCCACTGGGAAAGGAGTCGATCAACGACGGGTGATTTATCCTTCTTATCAAAAAGTGTCACTTGTAATAAAGAAAGTGTAGTCAGTGTAGAAAGTATGGAAATGTAACAAGAAATATACATAATAAAGATAATACTAATACAGTAGTTCATAATAAAAGGATAAAGCATTTGCCGTTGATCAATCCCTTTTTGGGATGCGGCACGCATTCTACTTCCATTTGTACATTCGTAGTGGCGTTTGAATGCGATGTGGCCTATACAATGACTTGCGGGGGCCAGCCGATGTACAAGTCAGTGTTTTTATCCTCCCAGACAAGTCTGGTACCAATTAACCGATGGAAGGCTTGGTTGGCCCGGGCGACTCACGACCCAGGATTTGATCCCCGGACCGCTCGCGTGGTAAGCGTGCCACTTGCCACTACACCACTTCCGCCCTAGTTCATAATACACACAATAATATGTTATAAACATACAATAAAGAAAGAAACTAAGAAGTAGAAAAGTGGAAGAAATAGGGACCACGGGGTTTGTGGACTTTGAGACATTCCTTTATGCAGACGTTTTGGCACTTCAGAAGCCTTCACGATTAAGTATTATTTCAAATGAGTCTACATGCCGTAAAAATGACCAGGACGAGAAAATTGCACTTTTAGCAAGCAATTTAAATAAAAAATAAAATAAATTAAATAAAATAAATAAAACAAAAATAAATAATATGAAACGGAATGAATATAGATTAGAGAACTTTTTGCATGAACACCCGGAGAAAAGTTGCTGAAAAATGAGAAATAATGATTTAGAAAAAAGAATGCGATGTTTGAGAGCTCGAAGTTAGAGATGCCTTTTTGCGTTTCTGCGACTGCCCGTGACAAAAAAAGCAGCAAAAATCGGTCAACAGGTGTAGACAACTCATGGGTAACCCTGGTTGTGTCGAGCGTGGTGAATCGCTAATCAATGGGGAAGGGTTTTTAATCGTTTTGTCCTTCAGAAAGGTTCCTACTCAACAAAAAACGAGTATAAAAAGGCTGCAGTAGTTTTATCCAGTGAGAGGGGGCATTGTAGTGCGCAGTCTGCTCTAATGCCAATTTGGCTCAAGGAGTCCTTTAAAGTTACGAGCTGCTATCAGCTTTTTCCTATGTTATTTCTTCAGGTGTTTTGTATAATGTACCGTCCATGTGCTGGATGACGTAAAGGTGAGGTAAAGGCAATATTCACCCAGCGAGCTGCTAGGACTAAGCCTAAGAGAGTCAAGAAACTCCCCCGGATGGAATAAAGATTGCTCACGCACCCGCGGGTTTCCCTAAACTTACTCCTAAATGTTTTTAGTAAAAGGAGATGTTTCCGTATTTCTAAACGCTTCCAAATTGCAGTGCCTCCGGCTATTCTGAATTGGAAAAGTGGCTGCTCCATGAGATGGAGCCCTTCACTGTTCTCACTTGCGTAGTCTAATTGTAAAGCGATGAGATGTCATTCGCACGTCTCTGTGGTTTTTCCGCCATTTTCTCCGCTCACATAGCTGCCAGAACTTACGTTGTTAAGTGATCCATTACCAGAATCGGCGGATGTCGTCGATTGCGCATCGGTGGTGTCGTCTGCGGCGGCCGAACGCTCGGGTTTCAGCGGATCGCTATCGGAGACGATCGGTACCGCAATTGCGGACATCTGAAACCGCGACAGAGTCAATTAACATCGAGCACGACTTTGTGAATACTTCCGACGCGTGCTCGGCTAGACAGAAGCAATCCAGCTAAGAAGATCGTTGCTACTGAAGGAAAAGAAGAACAACGAATGCGCCAAGCCGGAAGGCCACCACCGCAGCCATCAAACGGCAGTGGCGGCGCGCCGACGGTGTAACAATAGTTGCTCGCGTCGATTGATGGGCGATGCTGTTGTTGTTGCTTTTACTGCAGTTAGTTCCTACAACTGGAAAACAAGGTGTCGGGAATGTCTTCCGGGTTGGAACTGGTAAGGCGATGAGGAGTAATGGAGGTTTTCACGCGGGCGATTGCCTTACAAATGTCCCAAGTGATGGATTTGGCCTGCTCACACGGATTCGCTAACGGATCCACTGACAAAGGAGGCATTGTCACTCAAGCTCGGGCCGTTTCATGCGATTCCCAGCGAAAAGCATTTGTTAGATGAAAAAGATCAGTAGTTCAATTGCGAGGAAAAAATGCCCATCGAGATGTGAAGGGAACTATGAACAGAGCTTAGGTAGCGGCATAGGCCATTTAAGGGGGTAGAGTTCCTTGAGCAAAAGTAAAATGACATCGTTACATCTCAAAAGCCGTACATGTAACCCATAGAAGGTACTAATGGGCAGAGATTTCCTGGGGAGGGCAACAGAGAAGCAGATGTCCACTGCGCACAGTGTTCTCTAGCTAACCATCATTTAGAAATGGCTCATAAAGCATAAAGGAATCGTCAACGCGCTCATATCGTTAGGGGGCGGGCATTCAAGTTAGTGATTCAGTTGCAACGCTTGAGATTAAGCATTGAGATGAGGAAGGGCATCTTAAAGGATAAAGGATAAAGCATTTGCCGTTGATCAATCCCTTTTTGGGATGCGGCACGCATTCTACTTCCATTTGTACATTCGCAGTGGCGTTTGAATGCGATGTGGCCTATACAATGACTTGCGGGGGCCAGCCGATGTACAAGTCAGTGTTTTTTATCCTCCCAGACAAGTCTGGTACCAATTAACCCGGAGGGATGGAAGGCTTGGTTGGCCCGGGCGACTCACGACCCAGGATTTGATCCCCGGACCGCTCGCGTGGTAAGCGCGCCACTTGTCACTACACCACTTCCGCCCTTTGAAAAAAGTATTAGCCATTTTCTTTATCCAGGCGCACTCCCTCCCCCCCCCCGTCCCTATCCTCGGCCTGTAATGGTAGCCCCAGTAATGTCAACTTGTCGCAATTCTTCAAATCGTCCCGTTTTGAATCCGCCTCCTGGCCCAAGGCCAGCTAGGCCACTCACTATCCGTGCAGTGCAGGAAGTTCAGAGGGGAGTGGTGGTCCTCCTCTAGTCAGCCTGCTATGGAGGTGCAGTACGCTTCACTAAGCATTTCGGGTCGTGGCTACTTATGCATGGGAACGAAATGGGAGCGACTATGAAAAAAATATAACGTGAAAGGGTACAGAAGGCAAGGAAAGAAAGTCGTTTTGGTAACAGAGGGCATCGCTGTGGGATTGAAATGGTGTGAACTCGCACTCGGAAATGAAGGTATTGACGCGAAACGGGCAGGCAATAGATGAAAAAAGAAAAGTTGTCGAAAACGATACAGTTAAGAGCTCTGCTCTGCCAAGACAGTAAGAGACTGAGCACGGAGAGAGAGGCTAGACGAGAAGGCACAAAGGGCGAGAGAGTGCAGAGAAAGCATGCTCCGAATGAGAAAAAAAATGGAAGCGGTCATTGCAACGCTACAGACCAATTGTTGCACAATTTAGAGCCCGAGATAATGGAAACGACGTCATATATAGCTCTACCCCCTTGAAAAGATTCATCTACCTGATTTCAACGTGGGTTGTGCCTTTGAGTTTAAAAGGTCCTGATTCTTTCCGAAGATTTTTTCCTAACGGATCCTATGCTCTTCCTAAAACCATCGAAAAGGTTATAAAATACACAGACGAATCTTCAATTCTGTAAGATCACTAGATGCCGTGACTGATGAGTGGTTACCTAATTCGATTATCGGCCAATCAGCCAGTATGAAAAATAGTAGTGATGATAATGTTGACATGATAGAGTTGGGATTGATTTAGAGGAATAACTGTCATATTTTGAACGGTAACGGCTTTCTACCAAATAACAGTTCAATTTCACTTCAGAAAAATTTCGATTATCTGGAATATTTGTCAACAATTCAATCAATGGAGTAGGATGGGAAAATTCGAAGGGAAAGGACCGGGTGGGGTTTTTCGAAGTACAAAAGCGATTTAGACCAGATTTTGTTGTGGGGGTAGAGGTTCAAGTAAAATCGCCCCCCCCCCCCCTTAGGTGCTCTGGCAAAGTACGTGTAATTTGGAAGCATTGCGGGTTGCAGACATCAGCTGATCGGCAATGCTGCCGTGGTGTACTGGTCACTTCGCTAGATCCGTCAACCCCGCCCCCTCTTCACTGGGGAACGCCTCTCTGCCTCTTCACGCTTCGTGTTCCTCATCGGAAGATCGCAGTAGGCCAGCTGAGAGTAGCTTTTTAGGCATTCCTCAGTCCATTAGAGGCTGCCTCGTATAACTTCAGCTGTATATGTCAAACCAGTGTCTAAGTCAGCTATGACAGTTCCCGTAGGGGCTTACTTACTCGTTAGTGAAAGTAGTGGTGAGAGAAGGAGATCTCGTTTGTCAACTTCCTGGGAAAAGTTCCCTCCCTCGACAGAGATCTGGTAGTGGTTTTCATGAAGAACAAACCGCTGTTAAAGGGCACCATCACCGGGCATATTGCATTCAAATCAACGTAATAAATTAGTCTCAGAATCAATTGAAGAAGGATGCTTCAGCGCTGCACCTGCCCCATTGAATGCATTCTTGCTCGGCCCGGATTTCAATTTTATTGGGATGCTTGTGCGTTTAATCGGAAACCACTCAGAGCACAATACTATTCATGAATAAAAACACCTCCCTGGTGCCGCGTTTACTGTCGAGCTATTTTGAGATGAAAATAATCGAGGGGTGGGTATGTAGAAGAAGGCACAAGAAAGGAAAAGAATTTTTTTGCATTGACCCTCGAGATTTCGGGGCATGTTGATATTTATTTGTTGTATAAGAACTATTAATCAAAACAATGGATCTCCAATTCCATTCATTCTATACTTCCTCAAAGGGATGCCCACGTCCATATCCGCAAAATAGAGTGGGTTAGAAGTGGGAGACGGGACTAGATGGGGTC